GCGATCGTGAGAATTCATTGTTGGCCCGTGCCCGGGATCATCTGCCCTCCGTGCGTCTGGCGCCTCTAAGAAGACGCTCCTGGGAAGTTTCTCAACGAGCCGAATCGGCAGCGTCGCTGCGAGAGGATGGAAAGGTGGCCAAGGAGGTCACGCCGGGACAGTTGCCTGCATTAATTTCGCCGCTGGAAAAAACGCCACCGCAATCTCTTGATCTTGTGGTGTTTGCGGCAAATGTCTTTGGGGAAGAGATGCTGCACGACGCGCCGTGGCATCTGTCGCTTGCCCACCGTTGTCTTGCTCCTCATGGGGTTGTGGCGATTATGGGCTATGCGACCCGCGTTTGTGTGGTGGCGCCAGAAGCGGCGCGAAGGGACGCAGATGACTTTATGGAAGATCTGCAACGCACGGCCCGTGAGGCAGCGAAGATGAAGGATTCAAAAGAGCTCCGCGTGGCTTTGGGGCGCGCTATTGATATCAGTAGCAGTTTGGATGCGGGACATGCCGACATGTACTTTCCTTTTCGATCGACAAAAAGGCGGTGGTTTACATCTGAGTACGCTGCCACTCCTGCGCAGCTCGCCGCATCGTACCGGGCCCTTCCGGAGTACCAACTACTCTCCAGGGAAATGCCCCGTTATCGCCAGGCTCTGATTTCTGGAAGGCAAAAGGTGCAGGTGGGGGAAGAAACTGAAAAGGATGAGCCAGTGAACGTTTTTCGGCGCCAGCATGGCGCCGAGCCTCTTGAAGTTTTGCAGGGGTGCTTGCAGGCGCAAGTGATGTCGTTGCATGGACGGAATACGCCTGCGATGCCTCCGCTGAGGGTTCAAGTACGGCACTTTATCATCACTTGCAGCTCACGTTCGGTAAACGCCGCTTCGGAGCCCTTTCAGCTTCGCTCCCTTCGAAGGGAGATTCCGCAACTGAAGTAGGCATGTGTTCTTGGAGCAGTGGGACCGCCACGCAGGCAGCCTTCAGAGCAGAAATCAACATTTTGCTGAGGACCTCTTTGGAGGCTTTTTTCTTATGGGGTTTCAGTCTATACTGTCATTGACGCTTTATATATATATATGTGTTTCTCTTTTTCTTTTTTGCCTTCTTGCAGTGCCCATTATTTCTTTTTTCTGTGTTTTACAGCTTCCCTGTTGATCTTCTGCCACGAAATCCGCAGAGAAAAGGCGAAAGCGCCCCCAAACAACAAGGGGAAAAATAATATACGCAAACATACAGGAAGGAAAACATCTTTTTTTTTTTTTTTTCATTGCTGTTTTTTAATTATTATCAGTTTTTTGGCTTATTCGTGGTGAGTAGTGCATCTTCTTTCTGGTGGAGCAGGGGGAGGGAGATAAGCCGGGCCCGTGGACGCGATTATTCCCCGTCGTAGTCATGGAGGCGGTGAAGAACCGAATGCTCCTGTTCGCCGTGCGACAACTTCTTGGTCGCATCGTGAAGGACATTCAAAGCGATCAGTTGGAGCACATTGGACGTTCGAACAACAGCCTCGGGTTCAGCGTTGAACTTTCCCGTCTTGAGCTGAACGAGGCGTTTATTAACGAAGCGCTCCTGGGCGTTCCGGCGGAAGGGACGAGTCCCTCGCAGTCAAGTACGTCTGCTTCAATACGTCTGGTGCGAGGCCATGTAAACAGTATTCGCGGGGATTTTTCCTTTGGGAACAAAGGAGAAAGAAATATTGAGGTTGACGGCCTGCAACTTGTGTTGGATGTCATTCCAAAAATAGAGTGCTCTGTTCCAACAGGTCGCCGGAGTCGCAACGTAAGTCAAATGAGGGACACGAGGGATCGTCGTGGTCATGAAAAAAATGCAACATTTCCGAGGAGTGGCTGGGATGATGAGAATATTGGCGTAGAAGAGGACACCATATACTCTTCCCTCTTTATAAGCGATAGTCTGCGAAAAGGGGTAGAGGAGAGTGTGGTACGCCCTGCCATGGATGAGGCAGCGTATTCCACGGGACAGTCTTCGCCATTCCGCCATATTGATGGCGGACTGGAGGTGTTTGAGCGAACAATCAAGCAGTTTGCTCATAGTGTGAGGGGTTGTATACGGAATGTAAGCATAATCTTGCGTATCCCGCCCTTGGGCGAGCGAATTATGCCGGGACGGGAACCCCCAGACGGTAGTTTGGAATTGTTGGTCTCATTTGAAGGTGGATTTGAGCTAGAGGATATGTGCTCGGATCCAGATGGCGATTTGGTTCACAAACGCATTCGATTCTCCGGTGTTCGTGCGGCCGTATACCCATACGGACAGCGGCGCACAATGCGTTTTACAGATGACGAATTGGAGGAGTCCGTTGATCTTGCCGACGTTTTCCTTTGTGGTGGACGAACGGACGAGTTCAACAATGACATTGTACTGCGCTTTGGTGAGGGACGAAACCCAACTCAGGGGCCGGAGGCGCATCTTGACATGAAGATTACGACGAAGTCCTTCTTCTTTATCCTTTCACCGACACAGTTGGGTCGTCTGGTGCATGTTGCTTGCGCTTTGGTGGGGGCACCGGAGGGGGACATGGATGCAGCTGCAGAAGCGGCGGCAGCGGTAGCACCTCGTGTGGTTCGATTCATCACAACGATGAAGGCAACGTGTCAGTACGTTTTTTGTGTGCTTCTTCCCGGTGAGGATCGTCAGGGGATTAAGGGATTTTGGCAAACACTTCAGCAAGGTGATAATGGGGCTTCCTCTGGCGATGCACTACTGTCATCTAGAAGTTACCGGCTTGTTTTGCATCGTCTGCTTCACCGCACAGGGTACTACAATGTGCATGTGGGCGGTATCATGTTATTAGTTCAGCCAGTGACGGCGAGCACAAGCCGTTCCGAGGATGCATTTCATGATGTTTTTGAAAATCACGGTGGACGTGGCTGTTCGGCGGGAATCAGCGCCATTGAAATCTATGAGCTTGCCCCCGGAAGTAGCGGTGAGGGTGGCTCCAGTGACATGGAAGGGGGCCGACTCATCTTAACCACCAAGCAAAACGTTGAAAATTACTCCGAGCGGCGCTATCGCATTGCCATTGTCGCTAGGACGACATACCCTCTGACACTTGCGGAGTCGCGACAGTATAGCGTCAATATGCTGAAGGATCAGGATCACGTCACCGCCGTTGTGATGGAACATGTTCTTGTGAAAACTTCAGGTGCGGTTCTTTTGGCGGAATTGGATGCGGGCATCTTTAAAAGGCTTGGAACCTTTTGGGCTCGCTTGCAGCACATTATAGGAGCGATCCCTGGAACAGGGAGGTCGTTCTCAGAGAAACAGCAGCAAAGAGGACGGCAACAACAACAACAACAACAGGCTGCAGAGCTCTCTGTGTTGTCGTCACCGTCATTTGTACCGCTGAGTCGAGTTTCACGGGAGGAATCAGATCGTCTTGAACGACCCTTGGGCGAGGGGCAATTTACTCAACTGCCGCTCGAACAGTTGACTGGGGAGGGCTGTGGAGGTTACTCTCCAGAGATGCAGGTGACGACGCCTTATGTCCTGTTGCGCTTTTTTACGCTTCAATTGGAAGGTCTCACGTTGGAGATGAAGTTTTCATCTTCCAAAATGCCCGATCCGGATTATTACGGCCCACTGACAAAACGGTTGTGGGAACACTTGCGGAGTGAAGCGGAGGCGTCTTTTCCCACCACTGATCACTCAAAGTTTTCCGGTGTGGATGGGCCCTATCTCCCATTGACGATGAGTTTGTATCTGAAGTCGCTTGATGTATCGCTTGGAAGCGAAGGTGTGCTGGAGGTGTTTTTGGGTGAGGGGCAGCTGACCCTGCATGACTACAAGGAACGGGTGCAGAGCAATATTATGCACTTTGTGCTTGACCCGGATAGCAAGGAACCCTGCATCGTTGTCCGCCAACGGCAGTCGCGGTCATGCGACACGGCATGGAGCGTCGCAAGGAAGGCTCACGCTCCCTTTACAGATGAGTATGAAAAAGAGGAAATTCAGGCTGAAAGCAACAGC